TCTCCTGGAATTTAAGGCGAGTCAGTATTCCAGCTGGACCATACAAACCTAGAAGGTCTTTGGATATGATATTTTGCCAGAGCAGCCATATTTTGAATTAAAATTTCTTTACAGGAAAGAAAGTAAATTACTATAATCTGTACTGGGAAACAGCATAGAAATCTCTGTAAAATTAATAATAGAACTATAAAAATAGATCAACTAACCCTACAGTTCCTCTACTTGGGATGTATCCAAAAGAAATTGAATCAATGTGCTAAAGAAATAGCTGTGCCGCATGTTTGTTATAGCACTAGGTATCACAGTTATGGTATGAAATCAATTAAAATATCCTGCATTGAGTAGACAATGTTGAACAGGATGGTATACAGCCAACAGAAATCAGAGACCACCAGTTTCAACAAGACAGATGAAGCTGGAGGGCACTGAGAGAAATAGAGAGAGAGAATTTGTGATTGTACTTATCAATGTAAACTCTAAATGAGTTGACCCCAAGAGATAGAGTAGAATCTATTAGAGAGAGGAGAAAGGATGTTGGTTAAAGGATCAACATTTAGTTTGGAAACTGGAGCTAACTTTAGGAAATAATGTGTGTGCTATGGAAATATGAGGTTCAGTGCTCAGAATCTCAGAACTCACTTAAGAAGCCTTGACTTCTCTCAAAACAAGCATGGAAATTTAAAGACAATTAGGCCCAGTATAAGCAACAACAACAAAAACAGAAAGCAAACTTAAAAGTAATTGACAGTCTTTCAAATCTCCCAAAAGTAGAATAAGTGTTGGGTAGGCCCTGTCAGTTAGAGAAAGGGGACCCCAGTTAGACATATGGTTATTGAGGAAGAAATAAAGGGAACAGACAAGGCCAAAAACCAGTAAAAAAGTAAGTGAAGAAAAGACAGGAAGAAAAGCAAAAATACTTCACTAAGGGGAAAGGAGGGGTCACAGGAAAGTTTAAAAACTGAATGTACAACATATAAAACAAATGGAAAAAAACAATAATAGAGAAATAACTAAGCAGAGATATCTGTATAAGCATAAATATAGAGAAAATATCTCTGAAATAATTAGTTCAGCAGAGAAACTATTGTAAAATGGGAAAATATATCACAAATGATTCAGTGATAGAATGATTTAATTGTTAAAGCCTCAAAATATGAGGACTTCATTGTCATACAAAAACTAAACTTTCTCCTATCATTGCACTGGGGGAGGGGCATAGGAGAAGAAGAGGGAAGGAGGGTGGAATTGGGAGGGGAGAGGGAGGGGCTACAACTGGGATACTAAGTGAATACATTGTAATTAATAAAAAATGAAAAAAAAAACACTAACTTTCTTTAAAAATCCTCATAGCCAGGCTGAGGAGATGGCTCAGTGGTTAAGAGCACTGTCTGCTCTTCCAAGGGACCAAGGTTCAACTCTCAGCACGAACAAGGCAGCTCACAACTGTCCATAATCAATTCCAAGTGGTCTGATACCTTTACACCAATACACATAAAATAAAATTAAATAAATTATTAAAAAAATACTCATAGCCACAAGAGATTTTAGTACTGTTTCCTTGGTAACTCACAGATTACTAGGGAGACAGAAGGCTATTTTAAAACAGAAGAAAACTAGAATAAGAAATCAAGGTTTTCATCACAGTTTGTCCTGGGAAATAGTTCAGTCAGTGAAGCTCTTGCACTATAAAAAATTGGTTAATTCAAGGAATGCAATTTTATATTAGGAAGTCAATATATGATATATATATATCATATATATATATGATATAAAAACTATTTTATAGGATTAAAATAACATCTAATCACCGCCAACAACGTCAATTTAATCTGTAAATGTTAGGAAAGGTAATATATTCCTAATCCACAAAGTTTCTGTAGAAGGCAATAGGAATCATTTTACTTAGAGACCACATGTTACAAGATTTCATACTAAATGAAAAAAAAGTTATTTGCTGTGATCACTATGATTCAAACTGCAATGAACATAGTAAGAGAATAAAGCAAGAGATGTTAAAACATGTAAGAAAAGAAATATTAAAAAAAGGAAAAAGGTTTTGTTATTTGTAGAAGACATAATTGTACATATAGGGAATTTAGAAATTTTGACAGATTATCCACTAAAATTACAAAGTAATCTTAACAAAGTGCCTGAGTAGAAGATTAACATGTGAAAATGAATTCAGTTTATGGAATTGACTTTAATATGCAAGCATACCAAACACCTAGGAATATATTTAACCAAAATACAAAGGAGGAATATAAAGGAAAGCTTCATAATTTTTTTCTAATGTAGATATCTCAAGAAGTTTGTATTTTTCTGTTGGCATTATGGTAATAGAGCAGAACCTGGTATATCATAGATACAAGATATCATGAAGTAGCATTTTCTGTTTTGAGTTAATTGTTAATATATTTGATTCAACGAGGTTCTGATTCACTCATATAATATCTTCAAAAATTTGCTAAATTATTTTTGAAGATAAGCAACCAGATATTTACAATGGTAGCTAAACTATAATGATATTACAATTAAGCTATGAATATTTTTTGGAAAATATTTAACTTATTTTCGAAATATGTGACACTTATTATAAAAATATTTTCAATATAAATAATTAATTCTCACTGATGTGTCACTACTTTCAAATGCAACTATGGAATCAGAATCCACTGATGGAGTTATTGAGCTGAGATAAGATTCGAGACGTTCAGTGGGTACATGAAACCGTGGCTAACATCAAGCCCTGTATTTACTATGTTCTACAATATATACACACATAGTGGATATAAAGTTTAATTTAATAATTATGTATAAGAGTTTCAAAACTGGAATATAGAATGGCAGAGAAACACTTAAAGAAATGCTCAATGTCATTAGCCATCAGGGAAATGCAAATCAAAACGACCCTAAGATTTCACCTTACACCCATCAGAATGGCCAAGATGAAAAACTCAAGTGACAACACATGCTGGAGAGGCTGTGGAGGAAGGGGAACCCTCCTCCACTGCTGGTGGGAATGTAAACTTGTACAACCACTCTGGAAATCAATCTGGTGCTTTCTCAGACAACTAGGAATAGTGCTTCCTCAAGATCCAGCCATACCACTCCTAGGCATATATCCAAAAGAGGTTCATATACACAATAAGGACATTTGCTCAACCATGTTTGTAGAAGCTTTATTTGTAATAGCCAGAAGCTGGAAACAGCCCAGATTCCCCTCAACTGAAGAATGGATGCAAAAATTGTGGTACATCTACACAACGGAATATTACTCAGCAATGAAAAATAAGGAAATCATGAAATTTGCAGGGAAATGGTGGGACCTGGAAAGGATCATCCTGAGTGAGTTGTCCCAGAAGCAGAAAGACACATATGGTATATACTCACTCATATAGACATGTAATATTGGATAAACCTACTAAAATCTGTACATCTAAAGAAACTAATCAAGAGAGAGTACCCTGATTAAAATGCTCAATCCCCATCCTGAAAGGCAAAGAAGATGCACATCAGAAGAAGAAGAAAACAGGAAACAAGGTAGAAACCCGCCACAGAGGGCCTCTGAAAGGCTCTGCCCTGCAGACTAGCAAAGCAGATGCTGAGACTTATGGCCAACTGTTGGGCAGAGTGCATGGAATCTCACGTAAGAAGTGGAAAATTAAGATCTGGGGAGAACAGGAACTCCAAAAGGAGAGCAACAGAACCAGAAATTTGAACACAGGGGTCTTCCCAGAGACTCATACTCCAACCAAGTACCAGGTATGGAGATAACCTAGAACCCCTGCACAGATGTAGCCCATGGCAGTTTAGTGTCCAAGTGGGTTCCATAGTAATGGGAAGAGGGACTGCCTCTGACATAATCTGATTGGCCTGCTCTTTGATCACCTCTCCCTAAGTGGGGAGCAGCCTTACCAGGCCACAGAAGATGACAATGCAGCCACTCCTGATGAGATCTGATAGACTAAGATCAGAAGGAAGGAGAGGGGACCTCCCCTATCAGTGGACTTGGGGAGGGGAATGCATGAAGAAGGGGGTGGGAGGGTGAGATATAGAGGGGAGGAGGAGGGGCTTATGGAGGGATACAAAGTGAATAAAGTGTAATTAATAAAAATAAAAAATAAAAAGAGGTTCAAAACTATATTGCATAATAAAACAGGAAAAGAATTCTAATACAGTGTGATAAAGTTACCAGCAAAATTAATTTTGCATTTCCAACTACAGTTTGAAATAGGCCTAATTTGAACACAAACTAGTTATGCGACATTTGGCAGAATAACCAAGAGAGCATGAGGCAAATTCTGAGCATGTAGGGCATACGCTGTAAATACATTTCACAAAGAGCAAAGCAGATAATTTGTATTCCAGACAGGATGAAAAGTGATGGTAGGAAATACCTTCACAATGCTTAATATTGTTCAAAATCGATAAATTATTTACCTCTGCAACTTCATATTTATTATTTTTATAGCACAAATAAATAGGGAGTTTTATATTCTCTTAAAGTATTACAGTTGTGATGTATAAGAGATGAGGAATTTTTGCATTTAAAGGAGATGAAAGAATAGACGGCCAAGTAAGTATTTGCCACCTATAGCCCAACTTTACTACATCTCAAACTAAAAGTGGGTTGGGCATTGGTAGGACAGGTGTTAACCTGAATAAGGCCGAAGACATCACAGTGTCTATCAAAGCTTCACTCCAATATTTCTGCTGTGGTGAAGTAAAACACTAATCTTCAGAGAATCGGCCCAAGAGGACATGTCTGGTAGGCATTCTATTGCCGCTCTATAGATTTTGCAAACTAGGAGAGTAAAAGGTAGCAGACATAATTACTATAACCACCTTAAAAAGTGGCTCAGAATATTCAAAATGGCCAGAATTTATTCAAGGCTGATTATCACCTACCATATCTGCAGTTACCAACTCTAAAGTTAGATTTAAAACAGTCTAGAAAAGTATTACAGGAGCAACATTTGTTTGTTTTAGTTGGCACTTACCTCATTATATGTAAAGTCCTCTAAATCTATTTCTTCGTACTCTTCTCCAGATTCTTCATTCCTCACAGCCTCTAGGGCAGTCACCAGTTTCTTTCGTAAAATAAAGCCCTTCCAAACTGCCTGAACAAAAATGTGAAGTATGTTATGCAGGGTTACAGATCAAACCCTAAACCAGATTCTCTGTGTTGTCCCATTAGGAAGATAAAACATCTTAGAACTTAGTTTAATGGCTCAATAATCTGTTTTGTGAACTTTTTGTGACATGTACAACTGCAAGATAAATTAAATGACCACATGTGTATGAATCTCCCGAGACTTCCTTTGTGGTAAGCAAAGAAGAATCTTTAATACTCCCTCTACTGAACATGTAGGTCAACCAATCAATTATCTGACAATTCCTCTAGGACCCATTCTGAACCAAGAATAAAGACATTTTTAAAAGGTCAATTTTGCTCATTTTCTAATCATTATGTTTAAAGTAAGACAACACTCATTTTGAAAAACCCCAGTGTATTTAGATGGCCATAGTAGGAAGATGGTCTCATGGCCCAAAATAAATTAATTTCAGGAAAAAAGTAAAGTCAGCACTGAATAATGAAATTAAAAATAGTCAGGACGTTTAATAATTCTGGAATAGAGGAGCTCTCCAGCCTATGTCCCACGTACAATAAAGTTCCAGAGAATAAATGATCTTTATATTTTGCTGGAGAGTTAATTTGGGTTACATTAGTATAAAAGCAACAATGAGGTACATGAATATACTGAAATACATATGTATATACGATCGCTAACATTTATGAATAAAGTATAAAGTTATAAAATTAATTTTTAAAATGGTTACATATAATCTTAAATTATATGCCAAAGAAGCCTGAATTTCCCAACACTTTAGAGGTGATGACTGTATCTAAAGAATGAAGTCAATCTAGTTTACACAGTGAGTTCCAAGGCCCTACCTAAAAAAACAACAATAAAAGCCTTTAATTCTCTGAAAAAGCAATGTTTGTTTAAATATGAGTTTGAACCATGTACATGGTTCACAATAATTGTTAAATTATTGTTAAAGTAAATTAATCTGATCTAACAGGAAACAATTAGAAAATAAAAATAGGATTCATGTTTTGTGTATAACTCTACAAATTATTAAAGTGATTTTATCAAAAGTGGCTGCATTGTCCTCTACTGTGGCCTGGTAAGGCTGCTCTCCCCTCAGGGGGAAGTGATCAAAGAGCAGGCCAATCAGATTATGTCAGAGGCAGTCCCTCTTCCCATTACTATGTAAACCACTTGGACACTGAACTGCCATGGGCTACACCTGTGCAGGGGTTCCAGGTCATCTCCACGAATAGTCCTTGGTTGGAGTATGATTTTCTGGGAAGTTCTCTGTGTTCAAATTATCTTGTTCTGTTGCTCTCCTTGTGGAGTTCCTGTCCCCTCCAGCTCTTACTATTTCCCACTTCTTACATAAAATTCCATTCACTCTGCCCATCAGCGGCCATCAGGCTCAGCATCTGCTTTGACAGTCTATACTGCAGAAGCTTTCAGAGGCCCTCTGTGGCAGGTTTCAAGGTTGTTTCCTGTTTTCTTCTGGCTTTCAGAGGCCCTCTGTAGCAGGTTCCGAGGTTGTTTCCTATTTTCTTTTTCTTCTGATGTCCATCCTCTTTGCCTTTCAGGATGGGGATTGAACATTTTAGTAGCTAAGATCAGAAAGAAGAGGAGAACCTCCCCTATCAGTGGACTTGGGGAGTGACATGCATGCAGAAAGGGGAGGGAGGGTGGGATCGGGAGGGGAGGAGGGAGGGGAGGAGGGAGGGGCTTATGGGGGGATACAAAATGAATAAAGTGTAATTAATAAAAAATTAGAAAAAAAAACACTTCTATTTAAACAGGATATTTTGGAGAGTAATTGACAGAAAGTTCTAAATTTATGAATTTAAATCAATGGAAGAATATAATTTTAAACTTTCAAAATTTTACATGGAAACATCATTGAATACTTATTTATATTATACTTAAAGGAAAATTTCAATGGTAGCGACATCATGTATAAACATATTAATTTTGTAAAGTAAATAACTGAGAGGTCTTTTTGAAATTCAGGGCTCCAGTTTGCCTTCCTTTCTGTATTTAACTTTTACCTGAGTATTAGTCTCTATACAACTGGAAATGCTCACTTAAATATTTGTTTAATCCCTAGTGACTTGTTGGTACCCATTGCTATTTGAAGCAGTTGCAGTAAAACTAGCTGCCTTTTGGTTAAAAAAAAAAAAGTAATTTTAAAAGTGGATTCATTTAATGATAACCTAAAATATAGACTCCAAAGACAAGTTTGACTGCAAAAGTAATTTTAGAACAGTTTTTACTAAAAATGTTTTATAACATTAATTATATTGATAGTTTTGCCACACTGAGAATCAGAATACACAAAGCGGTCAGACTGTATTCAAGGACAGAGATCACCCACACCTGAAACAACCAGTCTCAAAGGCCAGATCACAGCCTCCTCAGAGAAGAATCTAGGAAGCTGAATCCAAACCTAAGCAATTAACCAAGAGCCATAGAGAGATATCAGTAGACAGTTTTCTTGCTTTTATCCTTATGTAAGACTCACTGAAGAATATTCCAAGTGCTTTCTAAACTAATTAGATAGCTGTCTCCAACACTAGTCCCCTCCCCACTATGTTTCTATAGCAACAACCTCCAATAAAAATATATCTGAAGCATTCTACTTTCTTTACTACAAACATCCACATTCTCGTCTCTCTCATGAAGCCATTGTGACTGTGGTTCCCACAGGACATTCTGAATAAACCACCTGTTTGTTAGCCCACTGTGTGAGCTCCATATTTATTTTCCATTATGTGTGTATAAAACCCCTGACCCAGGGACATACACGCACAACACAGGGGGAAGACTGAGAGATAGACAGAGAAACAGAGAGAGAAACAGAGATAGAAAGAGAGAGCATGAGAGAGGAAAAAGAAGAAAAAGAACAATTAAATATGTCATTGGAAACAACAGATTTTTTTCTTTTTTATTATTATTATTTTTTTTAACTTTCATTAATTACACTTTATTCATTTTGTATCCCCCCATAAGCCCCTCCCTCTTCCCCTCCCGGTCCCACCCTCCCCCCTTTCTGCACGCATGGTACTCCCCAAGTCCACTGATAGGGGAGGTCCTCCTCTCTTTCTTTCTGATCTTAGTCTATCAGTTCTCATCAGAAGTGGCTGCATTGTCAGGGTTCTAGGTTATCTCCACGGATAGTCCTTGGTTGGAGTATGAGATTTTGTAAAGAATAAAGTAGATGCACATATAGGTCAAACAAATATAAATGTTAAAGTCTTAAATATAATTTTCAAATATCTGATGAACAAATGATATAAAGAACTAACACCAATATTCCTCAAGTTATTCCATAAAAAAAAAAGGAACAGTTCCAAATTCTTTTTACGAAGAATTCTCTTTTTGTGGTTTTTGTAGACCAGCCGGCTGCAAAAATCACAGAGATCTGCCTGCCTCTGACTCTTAAGTGCTGGGATTAAAGGGACACACCACCTCTGAAAAATTCTTTTATCACTTCAATACCAAAACCAAATAAAGATACAACAACAAAAAAAGAATGATAGTCCAATATTCCTGGCTAATATAAATGTAAAAATTCACATCAACAAGATGATTTGCAATCAAGTCATTGTCATTACAGAGATGTATGAATTGTTTAACATATGTGTATTACATAGTCTCAAAGACAGAGACCACATGATTATCTTAGACTAATGATTTTCAGGTTAATTTTTAATTCTGCTACTTTTCTGAACATTGTTGTCAGTTATAGGAATAAAAGTGGATTCGGTGGATCTTTAAAAAGTGCATGGAATCTTAAATAAGAAGTGGGGAATAGTAAGATCTGGAGAGGACAGGAACCCCACAAGGAGAGCAACAGAACCGGAAAATTTGAACACAGAGGTCTCCCCAGGGACTCATATTCCAACCAAGGAATATGCATGGAGATAACCTAGAACCCCTGTACAGATGTAGTGCATGACAGCGTAGTATCCAAGTGGGTTCCATAGCAATGGGAAGAGGGACTGCCTCTGACATAATCTGATAGGCCTGTTCTTTGATCACCTCCCCCTGAGGGAAGAGCAGCCCTACCAGGCGGCAGAAGATGACAATGAAGCCATTCCTGATGGGATCTGATAGACTAAGATCAGAAGGAAGGAGAGGAGGACCTCCCCTATCAGTGGACTTGGGAGGGGAGGCGAGAAGAAGGGGGAGGGAGGGTGGGGTTGGAAGGGGAGGAGGGAGGGGCTTATGGGGATACAAAGTGAATAAACTGTAATTAATAAAAAAAGAGCACATGAATTGAGAGAAAAAAGTGAAGGGCAATACAGGACGATATATGGGTTATGGATTTGATTAAAATTCATTATAACACATATTAAGTTCTAAATAAAAAAGAAACAAAAACAGATGAAAGTAAATGAAAAGGTCTTAAAAAGCATTAGTTTTTCTATATACCAACTACAAACATATTGAGAAAAAAATCAGGAAATAATTCATAACGAACTCATGAAGTACCTTGAAATAAATCAAATCAAGGAAGTAAAGGGTTTCTACAATGAGAAGTTAAAATATCATTACATGGTTTAGCTTGAACAACACTCATGGTTATAGTATTTCAGATTAAAGGACAATTATCTACAGTCTTGATAGACAGTGGGACCACATATACTTGTCAGCTAGCCTGAAGCCTGTAAATCTACAAAAGGATAAAATAAACTCAAGTAACTTGAAATCACTGAAATGTTTAAAAACGCAGAATGACTGAGAAAAAGATGAGAAACATATTTTTGTCACTAACTTCGCTATCAAAGGTTTGAATTCACCTGAATATGAAGAGCAGCCTTCTCCCTTTGTTCTTGAATATTCAAAATATTTTCTCTTCTTTCTTTATTTGAAGTAGTCTGGTTGATGATGAAGGGATTATGCAGGGTTTCTGTTGTGGTAGAATGCATTTTTACAGAGCAATTAATCTGTCTGTGTGCAATGTAACGACGCCATTGGCCTTGGATCAGCACAGCTGCCTTACTAAAAACAGAAAAAAAAAAAAAAAAACAACTTTAGTATGCATGGATACACAGGAGGTAAATAAGGGTCTTCACAAGCTGCTGCAAGCAGGTGCTCTACAGCTGACAGGTAAGCTGCACCCAGGGAATCTCAACAATATGAGTGCCTAATAGGACCACCACTATGACAACAGCACTTACCATGCCATTGTGGATGAGAATTACATATATGTATGTATGTGTGTGTACATATATATCCAATAATTAAGATATATCATTACATTAAGATACAAATAATTAAGTCATAAATTTGAGAATGAGTTAGGGAGACACAGGAGGCATTATAAGGGCAAAGGATGGTGTGAGAATTATGTAAACATAGTACTCTTATAAGAAATTTTCAAAAAAATAAAGAAGAGGTCTTTGTGACCTGTGCATATCTGATCAGCAGGGCAGCAGTGACAACCAACAGTCAGAACTGTGTGCCCCCAAACAACCACAGTTGTGTTTCTCAGGTGAGAGCAAACCCCATGGTGAGGGAAACAATGGGGTCTGACCTCAGCTCATCCAACTAATTCCTGGGATAGTTGCTGGGTTCCTGAAGGCACTTGGCCTCCAGTGTCTAGCCACACACCTGCATACTGTGTTCACAGTCCGAGACTGAACTGTGGACCCCCAAACACCAGAGACTGGGTGACTGGTGGAGAGGAAACCCCATGGTAAGGAAAACAATCGGGTCCAAACTCAGGTCAACCAGCTAACCTCTGGAAGAGTTCTTGGGTTTCCGAAGGGTAAGAGTATCCAGTGTCTAGCCACAGCCCTGTGCTCTGTGCTCACCAGCTAGTGAATACCTTCTGTGTACTGGAGCACACAGCAACAACCTTAGGCTTTCTAATGCCTGAGAGCTACAGAACAGCCTCATACTTCATTCCAAAGTTCAAGCCTTCTCCTTAGAGAGAATAGAACAAATCTGTGGGCTTCATGGTTTTCCAAAATGGATGCACCCAGCAGACTGTGTCTGCACACAATGTCTGGGCAGCTGTAGTTCATTAACATCAGAGCAATAAAGGCAGTGGCATGGTAGCTGCTCCTGGACTTCCCTTGGTGATAGAGGGACCCCTGGGCTCCTGAGGAGTCTAGTCAGATCACAGGATCATATACCTCAGGACAGGCATAGCAATTCCCTGAGAACCACACACCAGTCAGAGATCATAGTTACGAATCTGAGGAATGCTCCTGTGGGAACATCTGGCTTTCTACCCTGGGCTCGTCTAACACTGCCCACCCTGTACCTGCTCTTCCAGGACTCCAGTAGACACCAGAAACTACCAGTCCATGCCAGAAACAACAGGATGCATAACGGCCGGCATAAAAACACAATCAACAAAAGACAAGGAGAACAACAGAACCAAAATCTGGACACAGGGATCTTTTCTGAGACTAATTCTCCAACCAAGGACCAAGCTAGGATACAAAGTGAATAAATTGTAAAGAATAAAAAAATAAAATAAAATAAAATAATAGAAAAAAAAAAAGCCAAAGCTTTTGACATCTCCAGAACGCTGTTATCCAAAGGCAAGCAGCCTCGGATACCCTAACACAACTGAAAAATAAGAAAATGACCTTAAAACTATGCTTATGAAGGTGATAGGAAAGGAAACGAATAAATTTCATAAAGAAATTAAGGAAGATGCGGTCAAACAGATTGAGGCCATTAGAGAGGTCTGTAGAGAGGAAATAAATAATCCACTCAGAGAAATACAGGAAAATGTAAACAACCAGGTGAAGGAAACCAATAAAATAGTTCAAGATGTGAAGATGAAAAGGGAAAACAGTAACTACAAGAGTCAGCATCTCGAATATAATACAAGAGATGGAGAAAGGAAGCCCAGGTGTAAGAGATACAATGGAAGAAATTGATGAATTTATCAAAGAAAATGTTAAATCTAAAATATTCCTGGTGTCCTGATGATGAGATGATGAGATGATGAGATGATGATGATGTAGATGATGAGACTTATGGGCAACCTTTGGGCAGAGTGCAGGGAATCTTAGGAAAGAAGTGGGAAACAGTAAGATCTGGAGAGGACAGGAACTCCACAAGGAGAGCAAAAGAACCAAAAAATCTGAGCACAGGGGTCTTTCCTGAGACTGCTATTCCAACCAAGGACTATGCATGGAGATAACCTAAGACCCCTGCACAGATGTAGCCCATGGCAGTTCAGTATCCAGGTGGGTTCCATTGTAATAGGAACAGGGACTGTCTCTGACATGAACTGATTGGCCTGCTGTTTAATTACCTCCCCCTGAGGGGGAAGCAGCATTACCAGGCCACAGAAGAAGACAACGAAACCACTCCTGATGAGACCTAATTGACTAGGATCAGAAGGAAGGAAAAGAAGTCCTCTCCTATCAGTGGACTTGGGGAGGGGCATTCATGCAAAGGGTGGAGGAAGGGAGGGTTTGAGATGGGAGGAGGGAGAAAACCACAGGGGGGATACAAAGTGAATAAAGTGTAATTAATAAAGAAAAAAAAAGAAAAAAAGAAAAGAAAATATTCCTGACACAAAACATCCAAGAAATTAAGGACAGCTTGGAAAGATAAAACCTGAGAAAAATAGGAATAGATGAAAAAGAAGATTCCTGTCTCCAAGGCCCATAAAATATCAATAAAATCATGGAAAAAAAATTTCACAAATTAAAAAAAAATTAAATGTAAGCATAAAAGAGGCCTATGGAAGAGCTAATAGATTAGATAAGAAAAGGAAATCCTCCCTCCACATAATAATCAAAACACTAAATGCATAGAACAAAGAAAAGATATTAAAAGCTGCAAGGGAAAAAGGTCAAGTAACACATAATGACAAACCTATAAGAATCACACCTGACTTCTCAAAAGAGACTATGAAAGCCAGAAGGACCTGGACAGATGTCTTGCAGACCCTAAGAGAACACAGATGTCAGCCCATATTATACCCAGCAAAGCTCTCAGTCATCATAGATAGAGAAAACACGAAAACAAATTTAAACAAGGCCTATCCACAAATCTAGTCCTATTGAATATACTCAAAGGAAAATTACAACCCAAGAAGGCCAACTACACCCAGGAAAACATATGAAATAAATAACTTTCTATAGTAAAACTAAAAGTAGACAAGGACACAAACAAAATATCACTGGTCATTAATCTCTCTCAACACTAATGAACTCAACTATCCAATAAAAAGATAAACTAAAAAAAAAAAAAAAAACTAAGAGAATATATGCATAAACAGGTCCCAACATTCTGCTGCACAACAGAAACACTCCTCAGCCACAAAGATAGATGATCCCTGATAGTAAAGGACTGTGATGTTGGTCCTCCTCCCAAGGGTCCAACGCATGGGTGAGGACAGGGGTTCCAACCAATGGGGGTGAGAGGCACCAGAGTCAGTACCCAGACACTGGGAGTTGGGTAAATGCAATCTGAGAGCAAGCAGATGCAGATTCAGTTACTCCAGGAAGAGAGAGCACCTTAGATAGCTTTGGGCAACCAACCAGATTCCTCCACATCTTCTCTGAGCCTGCCATTGGTTCTTGGTCTCTGGATAGGCTCCTGGATGTCAGGTCACATACCCTCAGCCCTACTACTTTTGCAGTCACATCAGCAGAAGTCACCACAGGTCATAAGTCCCAATGGTCCCTTGCTGGGAATGCCACATAATTTCCTTTTTGTTTTATTTATTGAAACCTGGGAGACAGGGTAATTGGCCCCAACATTGTTGACCCCAAGCATTGGGGGCTCACCTCAAGCAACGGTGCTTGTATTAGGTTGCCCCAGCTCTTGGAGTCTTATTCGTCATTGGCTGTCTCCCTGTTGAGTACTCCCCAAGGTTCACTCTTTCAAATAGGAGGTTTTTTGTTTTTTTTGTTTTTTGTTTTTTAAGCACAGACCCTTATTAGAAATAAACCCACACACTTATGAACACCTGATTTTTGACACAGAAGCCAAAATCATACAATGGAAAAAAGATAGCATCTTCAACAAACGGTACAGGTCTAAATGGATGTCTACATGTAGAAAAATGCAAAGATATCCATATTTTTCATTCTGCACTAAACTAATGTCCAAGTAGATCAAAGACCTCTACACAAAACTACACACACTAAATATGTTAGAATAAAAAGCAGGAAAGAGCCTTGAACTCATTGGCACAGGAAACAACTTCCTGAATAGAACATCAACAGCTCAGGCTCTAAGATCAACAATTAACAAATGGGACCTCATGAAACTGAAAAGCTTCAGTAAAGTAAAGGACACCGTCAACAGAACAAAACAACGGCCTACAAACAGGGATGAGATCTTCACCAACCCTACATCTAACAGAGTACTAATATCCAAAATATATAAAGAACTTAAGAATTAAACTCCAATGAACCAAATAATCTAATTAAAAGATGGGATACAGAACCAAACAGAGAATTCTCAACACAAAAATATTAATGTTGGAAAAGCATTTAAAAAAATACTCAGAGTCCTTAGTCATCATGGAAATGCAAATTAAAAAGGCTCTGAGATTTCATCTTATACCCATCAGAATAGCTAAGATTAAAAACACAAGTGACAGTACATGCTGGCAAAGATGTAGATAAAGGGGAATACTCCTCCATTGTTGGTGGGAGTGCAAACTTGCACATCCACTTTGGGGGCTTTCTCAGATAATTGGGGCCACAACACCAGCTATACCAGTCTTGGCGTATACTCAAAAGATGCTCCACCATACATCAAGGACATTTGCTCTACTATGTTCATGGCAGCTTTATTCATAATAGCCAGAATCTGGAAACAACCTAGATGTTCCTCAACTGAAGAATGGATACAGAAATTGTGATACATTTACACAATGGAAGGCTACTCAGCTATTAAAAACAAGGAAATCATGAAAATTTCAGGCAAATGGATAGAACCAAACAATATCATTTGAGTGAGGTAACCCGGAACCAGAAAGACACAAATGGTATATACTCACGTGTAAGTGGATA